CGGGGGGAAAATTTAACCTGCAGGGGTCCCCCACTCTAACCATTGGAAAGGTGGGAGATGCTAGAGCAAATATGATGATCATTATTGAGAGTATGGTTGAACCGACTCTGAAAGATAGTGTGTGTGAGTTGGAGTGTGTGTGTGTTTGTGTGTGTGTGCTCCCCAGACCTCGACAGGGGTTTAACTGGAGGGTCCAATACAGAAACACTTGCTTGACAGGCAACCGAATCAAGATGCACCTTCCGGGGTTGGTTGGGGAGAACCGGCACGGGGATGGCCGGCCTCCCCGGAGGGGTCGCCCCCTGGAGGGGCCCCAAAGGGCCCCCCGGGGGGGGCGGGGGCCCCCGCCCCGAGGGGCGGGGGCGGGTCCTTCCGTGTCGCTCCCCTCGTCGGGAGTGTCCGTCGGGATGGTGTTGTCCGCCCACTCGGCAGCGTTTGAGCCTCTGTCACCTTGCCTGCCGCGAGCAGCTAGCTCGTCGACGTAGTCGTTCCATTTGTTGCCGCTGTGACCCGCCACATGCCTCCACGTCACGGTGTGTTTGGCGCGAAGGCGTCGCCAGAGGGAACGAAGGCGCTCCGCTAGCTGTCTGTTCGTTTTGGGGGTCACCCTCCCCATCATGCACGCCGCCGCGTACTCGCTGTCGGTCCGCACTACTCCGCGTGAGCCCGCTCGTTGCGGTGACGAGGACAGGAGAGCCCGGAGGAGCTCGGCTAGGGCGGTTAGTTCCGCCGTTTTAGGTGTGAGAGTTGTGTTTGCCAACTCTTTTCTTTTTGTGCAGTCCCGTGCCCAGTGTTGTGCGAGGGAGCACTTGGAGCACTGGGACTTGGAGCACTTGGAGTGCAATTGGGAGTATGTTATGTATGTAGGAAGGGGAGTTTTTGAGTTTTTTGTTTTTTCTGGCGTTGGCGGGCGAGTCGGCGAGCCGTCTTTTTACCAGGTTGCAACCCTTGTTCCGCACTCGGCTGTGAAAGCTGCTGGTTGCCGCCGGTTGAGCAGCACCCCATCCCCGTCCACGTTGTCGGTTGCTGCCCCATGTCCCGCACTCGGGGTGTGTGCTTCTAGCCCCGTTCTCGGGGGGGGGGGGGGGGGGGGGGGGCAAAT